CACCTCAGGATCCTGGGTGTGGGCCAGCCCTCACCTCCGTTTGGCCCTGGACGGTTTTCCTGGCCTGACGCACTTGTCCTTTGTACCCGTTGATGGCATAAGCGAACCTGTCTGCCAGCTCCTCTATGCCGTCCTCATTGGAGCTCTGCAAAGACAGAGCCCGCTACCAGAACAGGAGGCACCGGACCGGTGCCTGTGGGACAGAAGCCTGCCACCCGCTCTGTCCCCAGATCAGGCAGAGAGGGGCATCTGCAAAGTTCTCCAGGCAGGGAGTGAAGTTGAAGACCCCTTGAATATACACACCTCACCTCCACCAACCTCATACACCATCTTAACCAGTGGGTAGCAGATCTCCAAACACAGCACTCACATGGCACACCCTCAGGCTTCTGACACCAACCCACCTGCTCCTGCACAGGATGTGAGTCCTTCATGCACGCTGTCCCTCACCATCCCCGACACACACACACACACACACACACACACACACACACACCCACCCCAGGGATGAGGGGTAAGAGGTATGGGGCACCCTAGGTGTGATTCCAGCTGGTGCCTGGCCTGGATGGACCTGGCCCCGGCTGCCCTCAGTTACCTGTTTGTGCCTCCTGCCAGAGGGCGAGGGGTATTTGTGGTGGCGCTTGCGCCTGTTTCTACACCAAGAGAAACATCTCTCAGCCTGGGCTTTCTCCTTCCCTGAGCCTCGGAAGAGTGGGAAGCAACACAGAGACATCTTGTCTTCTGACCCAGTCCACTCAAGTGAGCTGCAAAGGCAGTTGCCTCCAGAATGTGGGTACCTGGTTACCATGGTTCCAGTTTCTCTCAGCAAGGAAGTGAGGTCACCCCTTCAAGGTTCCACGACCTGTGCCCCTTCATCCAATCAGAGCCACCCAATGGCCCCATGGGCTCTTGACCCCTCATCCTCGGGGCCCATGTTATCTCCATACCTGGAAACTAATCAGTACCCAGTCTCCAACACAGCCCTCTCCCCAGCTCTCTGGGAATGTGTGAGGGACCCCGGCTTGGCAGAGAAAGCTGTGTTCACACCTCCTTTTCCTTACTTGTTCTGTGCCCTGAGGGAGCCTCTGTGCCTCTCAGGGCATCCCCCAGTCTGCAGAGCTGCCCGATGAGGATGATGCTAGACACCATTTCCGTAGGATGTCATCAGGTGTGGGCTGGCATCCCCAAAACCTGATGAACAAACCTAGAGGTGTAAGTGTGACAAGAATGAGTAGCACACAGCATGGGACACTGGACAAAACAGGCCTGAGGTCCAGCCTGAGATCTCAGGGAAGTCACTGCTCATGTGGGCCTCATTTTCACGTCTGCACCTTTAAGGTTTGAAATGACAGGAAATTCAGAGCTTGTCACTCATGGCCTAAAACCTCGCAGTGGTGTCTTTTTACACTTAGCATCAGAGCCAGTGTCTTATGTGGGCCCAAGGGTTAGGGGCCTTCACAGTGGCTTTCATTGAGTCCAGCCTCCTGGTGGGGACATCCTTGTGTGTCCGCTAAGAGCACAGTAACTGGCTTCTGAACAACATAGCGTCGATCCCAGGGGATGGTATGTCAGGTCCTGACACTTCTCTAATAGTCTCTCTCATTCTTGAGGCCCTTTCCTTCTCTCAGCCTCTCTCTCACTTTCTCTCTGTATGTGTGTCTGTCTGTGCCCCGGAACAATGAGTCCACACACTTTTCCCCCCCACTTTAGTAAATCTTGGTTTTGGTAAGTTCTCTCCTTTGTTCTTAGAGTCTCTTGGTCTGAGAAGATATATGGCTTCTTTAACTACTCCATTATGAGTTCTAGACATAACCTGTCAAGTCCCATGAGCATGATAGCTTTCTATCTTGACATTCGTGATACAACCATTCTAGTGTGAAACCATCGTTAGCACCAAGAGTACTCACCCCATTGGTCTCAGTGCCTCTTGATACCATGTGTTTTCTCTGACTTGTCAACCTCTAGTATGGCTGGGTCCCTATCCTTTCCTTTTGGCAGCCCAAAGGATCTTTTGAAAATGTAAATGTGATCCTGACCCTTATGGAAACATACCATGGCTTCCTATGGCATTTAGAATGAAGTCCAAAATCCTTAGTGTGTCTGTCCAGGCCCTCCATGATGTGATCTTATCTTCTATCCACTCTTGTCTCCCCCTCACCCCTTTTCTCTCCTCACACTTTTGAGATCCTCATTGGCATCACAATCACCCAGCCCAGCTGTGTCATTGTCATTCTCCATTTGCCAAAGTTTCCCTCTGGAGTCATTGGAAGACTGGTGTTCTTTCAGGCATATGTGGTCTTTCCTCTGTCCTCCTCTCGGCTTCCATACTGTTTCTTTTTTTCCTTTGTTTTGTTTTGTTTTGTTTTTCATGTGTGTGTGTGTGTCTGTGTGTGTGTATGTTAGTTTGTTTTTGTGGGTTTTTATTTTTTATTTTTATTGATTGATTGATTGATTGATTGATTGATTTGCTGTACCATGAAAGGCTACTGCCTTCTCCATCCTGGGGAGTTTTCAGGATCTTATTCAGTGTGGAAGCTGAGATTTATAAGCAGCAGAATACTGATGAAAGTAACAGTAGGGATGTGTTTTTCTCACAAAATAACCAATCCATGGGTAGGTGGATCCAATGTTGAATGCAGCAGCTCAGTGATGGCAGGGTAAGCTGCCAGCTAGAAAGTGGCTGCAGCAACAGCTCCCAGGATCCAAGGGAGAAAAAAAGTTCTGTCTTCGCTGTTGTGCTTTTTATCAGGGAGGAAAATAGTGTCTCTGAAAGCAATTATGAGACCCTTGCGTGAACCCTGGGCCAGAACAGGCAAGATTGCAAGGGACATGGGTTCCTTTAGTAGGAAAGTGTTCCTGAAGGAGGTGCCTCAGTCCAGGAGGAGGAGGAGGAATAGCAGGACAAGGAGGAAGAGGAGGAGCAGGAAGAGGAGAGGGACAGGGCAGTTGGGAAGTTTCTGATAGTGAGCTTCCTGTTTCTGCTGTGAACACTAATGGCCCCATACATTTGTTCTTTGTGGACATGTGGAGGAAAGGTGTCCCGAGATTCAGGGATGATTGTTTTCAAATCTGTTTCCTTATCTTGAAGTCATCTATCTAATGGGGCCCATATCATACACATGTACCTTTAAAAAAAAACACAGAAAATCTACGTGTTTATTGATGTCAGAGGGAGGAAGGGAAACAGAAGGGAGAGAAAGGAGGGTGGGGGGAGAGAGTAACACCAATGATGAGAGAGCCTCATTGATCACATAAACCCCTAGACAGCAACCCAGGTATGTGCCCTGACTGGGAATGAAAGTGGGACTTCTTGATTCAGGGTTTGATGCTCAAGCATTGAGCCACGGCAGCATGGCCACCCGTATAACTTTCTAAGTTTAAACTTTCCTTAATTCAAATTAAGTAAAGGTTAAAATTCACTTAGACATTTAGGGTTCTCTTGAGCAGTGTTAGCTTGTGCGTAGATCAGCCGGTTTCCGTGGAAAGCAAGTAGGAACTGAAAGAAAGGAAATGTGTCTACCATCAGAGCAAGAGTGTTCACATGAGAAGGATGAGGTTTGGATGATTGGGCAATGGCACTGTGTGGATCCCTCTTGCACAGCATGCCTCCTTTGGAAATACTCACCTACCACTCCTTTTTCCTTTTCTGCTTAGAAGTTTTTGACATAATGGTTTTAATTTTAATTATAGGTTGTTCCAGTGGTGACAGTGAAGCATGGCCCTTCTGGTAGAACCAGGGCTGTGTACCCTGTTTCCGTACCGTCCTGAGCTGGTGGAACCATTGCCTCTTGCGGAGAGGAGTTTGACTGGTGAGTAAAATTCGGGGCTCATTGGGGAAGGAAAATGTTTAACCAAGTGTTGAGTGGAGAGAGTTGTTTTGAATTATTCCTGTTGCAACCAAAGCAATGCTCTTTCCATCCCCAGTGGTTTTCAATATTGTTAACAGTTATCCTAGTGGTTGTTGCTGCTCAAATGGCAACTCAAGATACACAGCGAGTGACGTGGAATGCAGCCCAGTAAGTAATTTTTGCTCTTCTTGAGAGCATTTGAAGATATAAATTGGCACATGGGAAAGTTTGGAAAGAAATGATTGAGTCTGGCCAGTGTTGCACAGCGGTTGAGGGTCCCCTGGGAACCAGGCAGGCGTTCACAGTTGGTTTGATTCCAGGTCAGGGCATATGCCTGGGTTGCAGACTGGATCATCATTGGGTGTCGTGAAGGAGGCAGCCGAGGAATGATTCACTCTCAGCATTTTTTTGATCTCTCCTTCGCTCGCCCTGAAATCAATCTAAGTATAGTTTTAAAATATCTCTTTAGCCTAGCCCCGACTGATGGGGCTCATTTGGGTGGGCATCTCCCCTTGCACTGAAAGGTTTCCGGATCAGTTCCCAGAAGGGGGGCACTTGGCAAGGTTTTGCGGTCAGTTCCTTTCAGGGGTGGGCAGGAGGCAGCGGACCCACCTTTCATCAAAGTTTCGCTGCCTCTCCTTTCGTCTCTCTACTCTATTTTTATATATTGGATATATGATCCTAGTGTAAAACCGGAAACTATATACATAAGAAAAGGAGAAGATACTGTCACTTCTAGTAGTTTCAATTCCTCCAGTTCACTATTGTTCATATTTTGATGCATACATTTCCAGATTTCATGTCTCCATTTCAGCAATTTATACTTACCAGAAAAAATGAAATGTTTCAAACATTATTTTAAAACTGTAATATGCAGGGAGCATCCTTCCATTTCAACATATATGTGAACGTGTGTGTGTGTACATTTGTGTGTGTGTTAATATATATATATATATTTTATATATATATATAATGTCTATGTACATGAATATATCAGGTCAACACATGTTTTCAATCCACAACTTTATTTCTATTTATTCAAGAAAGTACTTAATATAATGGATTAAAGTCTACATAAATAGCTAGGTACTATTGGATATTATCGTTATTTACTATTATAAAGATACAGTTGGGGTTTATTCCTCTTAGTTATTAAAGATAATCGCCTAGAACTGTCATGACAGCAGCAGAGAAGGCTTCCAGCACAGTCAGCACCTGTCTCCTTAATGGCCTCATGTACTGCCTCAGGCCAGGACACGCCATGGTAGTGCGAATGGCTGGACCAGACTCTGGCCGCTGAGCAGCCCCTTCCTCTGGCTCTGGAGAGCTCCGCAGCTCTGGGTTTAGACCTGGAGCAAGAGAGAGAGAGGGAGAGAGAGATAGGGAGAGAGAGAGATAGGGCGAGATAGGGCGAGATAGGGAGAGAGAGAAAGAGAGAGAGAGAGACAGAGATATTTTCTCACACACCTGGCTTTCCCGTTACTTTCCACTGAAAGATGCCAGCGCCTTTAAGGGAAATCCAGCCCATACGCCTGTCCTCCCCAGGTTATGTGTCCAGGTTATCAGTCCCCCTCACCTTGGTGAGTTGCCTCGGTGGGCTCAAGATGCTCCAGCTCTGGATTTTGGGTTTGGCCCAACAGGTGAGATGCTGGGGACTTGATGGGCACCAAGGCCTGCTCTACCTCCAACAAGGCAAAAGGAAGGTGCTGCCCAAAACCCTGGACCTGTTCCAGCCAGGTCCCGACCAGCGAAGCAATGACCCTGGGGAGAGGCAGGTGGGCAGTCAAGTCAGAGTTCTGGTCTTTCCTTCTACTCTACCCTCCCATGGCACTCTTGTTTGGGACTGAGCCCCTGTGCAGTCTCCCTCATATCCAGGGCACAGCCGCACGCCAAAGCCAGCCCCTGTGTGGCTGTTCTGTTTGTAGCAGGTGTGGGATCCAGCAGGCTTAACGTGGAGTCTGTGTGAGACTCTTCTTCCCACTGGCAGCTCTCCTGAGTGTCCTGTACACTGCCCACCCCAGCCCTCCATGCCCATGGGCATCTGGGCTGAGGACTGAGACAGACTCCTGAGCTGCCTGCTCACCACCATCCTGTTCTGAGCCGTCCACGGTGGTTAGTGGAGGTGGATGGAGAGAGGGGCAGGCAGAGGACTATGGGTCTTGTGGGGAAGGAGACTCTGAGGCACAACTCAGCCCAGCGTCCTCTCTGGGTCTACAAGACCAGGGACCCCATCCTCTGTCCTCTTTGACTCATGTCCTTCTGGAATAGAAGCCAGCAGAGTTCAGGCCTTTCATGGGATACAGAAGGTGTATAAGATCAGGGTTCTGCCAGGCAATTCCCCCAACTCACAGTCCCCACTCTGCTGACACAGGGGGGCCCCCTTCTGGACGCAGAGACCACTCACTTTATGACTTGGTCCTGCGGTGTGTCACCCTGGTCCTTATGAGGAGGTGTGCCTGCAGATGTCGAAAGCACCTTGACGGCATCAGCTCTGATGGACGGTGGACAGGACCTGTGAACGATGGACAGCGTGACTGCGGGACCCACTGCCTAGAACTGAGGCCCAAGGCTTGTGTCTGCTTCATTCCTTGAGTCGGCCTAAGCGTCTCCAAACCTGCTTGCCTGCAGTAGGAGCTTCATACACATTGTTGAGGAAATAAACTCCAACCAGCACCATGCCATCCACCTGAGTGGGCTTGGGGCCCCTGCTACCCGCCCGAGATCCCCCATGTGGCTACACCAAGGCTGAGGACCAGCTAGGTGAAATCTCCTACTGACTGACAGGCTGCTTTCCGTGTTTTTCCAAACTGTGATGCCACAGGCCGCCGCTGGGTGAGTCAGAGTTCTTTTCAAGGGACAGAGTGAAATCATTGCCACAAACCACGGGCACACAACCGGCAACCCTGTCTGAAGAGCCAGGGAGCAGGTAGGACCTGCCATGGCTTTTCTCCACAGCAGTGCTATGAGGTTTATCCCTCACCACCCCATCTTTCAGAGGAGCATACTTAGACTGAGAAAGATGTGGTGGCATTTTCAGGACGTACAGCTTGCAGAGGGCAGAGTCCCGAGTGTGAGCTCACCTAGCTAACAGCTCCTCCAGGAACTGTTGGGCTCTGCAGAAGGCCAGCGTGGAGACCTGGGGGACGTTTCCCCCCAGGAGAGCTGGTACCATGGATGTGGCCACTTGCTCTAAGGTGCCCTCACGGAGGTCCTGCATCCAGTAGGACTCAGGTAGCTTACCAGTTACCTCAGCTGGGCCCTGGGAGGGACAAGTGAAGACATTGAGTCAGCGGCATGACCGAGAATCCCACAAGGATTGAGGTCTGGAGCTCATTCGGGAGGTCCCAGCCACACAGGGACGTGTGCCAGAGGAGGGGCAGGAGCGCCCAGGCTGAAGGTCGTTCTAGGTCTTCCAAGTGCCACTTCAGTTCTGTGCATGTTCATTCAAATGTCACCTTCTAGGCATCTTCCCACTCGTCCACCCACATTTTCTTTCTTAGCTAAAGAACAGCAAATGTTCCTGTAGGTGTATAGTCTATATGAAGAGCATGGGCCCTGCTAGCCCTCTAGAAACCTCCCCTTATAGAGCTGAGAACACAGAGGTTTCAGGATATCACAAGTCTGGTGAAGGGCATGCAGATCAGAACTGGGACCTGTCCTACATAACATTCCCTCTCAGGTAATGGACGATTATCTGTTCCTGACTTGGGTGGAAAGTGTGTGGGAGCCTTGTCGCTCCCCAGCGCGGGAACCGTGTACACGGTAGACATGGCCTATGAAAACCATTGACTTCAAAGGAGAAAGTTATGTTTCATCCTTTTACACTGAAGGGCATTTTTAGGAACCTCACTGTGGAGATCCCAGATTCTGCAAGGTGGCAAATGCTTGAAGGCTGCAGACTGGAGAAAGGTGATCACCAGGAAGTAATCTGAGCAGAGGACTCGGGAAGGAGCAAATCTATATGGTGGCTGACTGGGGAACGGGTGACTCAAAGTAGCCATGAGGCAATTGCCAAGGTAGGAACACTGTGATAGAGTTGGACAACCTGGCATGGGGCAGGACAGGTGAAAATTTCAATGAGTGAGAAATCCCCGGGCCAGGCTGGGAGCAAGGCAGGGGCAATCATCAGAAACTGCTCTTGTCTATGTCCCTGCTTCAGCCCTTTGGATTTGGAATCCACCTGCAGCCATGAAAAGTTTCCATGTGCACGTCCTTCTTCCAGCAGTGGGTGTCCATCTCCAGCTGCGGATACTACATGTACAGTGGTCTGAACTGGGTCCCCTAATCCCATGAATTTGCAGCCCCTAGAACTTCACTATGTGGCCGCATTTGACGGTTCGTCTTCAAGCATGCAATTCAGGTGAAGTGAACTCAGTGCTGTGGGTCTTAATCTAGTGTGACCAGTGTCCTGGGAAGAGGAGGGGCGGACACATGGCAGTGCAGATAGGGGTCCATGTGACACACAGGGAGAAGACGGCCATCTGCAAGCTGAGGCGAGACCCCCTCAGGAGAAACCAGCCCTGCTGGCAGCCTCCTGTCTCACTCCGAGCCTCCGGAATAGTGAGAAAATGAATGTCTGCTTCTGACACCACCCAGAGTGGTCCTATGTCAAGGCAGCCCGATCAGCCTAACACAGCCCATTCCAACACACTTCAGTGCTCTGGGCAGAAGTGCTGATATGGCAGCCGAACTGAATCAGGCCCATGTCCAACAGCACTGAAGGGCTGCATCTCTGTGGGAAGGACATCTGCTATTGGCCAAGTTCTGCAAGGACTGTGGACTGAGTGGCAGGGGTAGTTTTAACAACAACATCAGCGAAATGCCCACGAGTTGATGGAGTCTCCTGTGAAGTCAAACCACATCTCTCTTTCTCCTTCATATTTCTACAAATATGTGAGGAGTGTCTTTCTACCCTCCCATGTAGCTGGTGGGAGGAGTGGGGGTGCGGATTTCTTTGCCATGGGGCTGTGGGAGAGTCTAGGGAGAGTCCTAGGACGGTCCCTGAGGGGGAGTCTGCAGATTTGAGGGTGTGTGTGGGCACTGCCAGGTCCTCTTGGGGTTGTGGGTGTGGAGACCCTCAAGGCCGGCTCTCACCTCTGAAAGGCACTGGACTGTGTCGTCAGCCTGGTGCACCTGCACCCTGACCGCGTAGGCGGTATAGTCGGGTCCTTGGGCCAGCACCTCAATGATGTCCGCCTGGGAGCTCTGCAAAGACAGAGTGGGTACTGCGACAGGAGGCCTCAGGAACCTCCCACCCAGTCTGCGGTCCTGTGTCATGGCAGACCTCGTCTATCAGGACACAGGGAGGATGTTCCTGGCAGCCCTGCTGTGCTAGCAGCCATTGATTTGTGTCAAGGTCTAGCAACAGGGAAAGCCTGAATCACTGATGAAAACTGTGCCCCTGTTGGGATGATATGGACTTGGGTAAGGCCACAGCTCCTGACCTGGCCTCACTGCAATGGTTTGTCGTACTCCGTGAGGTGATAGGTTGCGGAGAAAAGTATTCAAGACCTCAATCCCTCCCTTACCCACAACGCTCTATGTTTAAAATACACAGCACTATCAAGTGGGAGGATGTTTAAGGCCTGGGAAAGGTGGACAAGGAAAGTGGAGCCGGGACCAGTCCACAGGTTACTTGGGGGAAGGGAGTTGATAATGAATTGAAAGGAGCATAAGGAAAAGAGAGCAACAAATGCCTCCTCTAGGATCCCAGCAAAACATGAAGAAAGATTGCCTTTCTACCCTCCCAGGGACCTGGTCGGGTGGATTGAATGTACAGGTTTCTTTGTGAGAGGGTCTGTGAGATCTTGGAGGGCCCTGGTTAGAGTCAGACTTCTGGGACCACCCCAGCCACCTCAGGATCCTGGGTGTGGGCCAGCCCTCACCTCCGTTTGGCCCTGGACGGTTTTCCTGGCCTGACGCACTTGTCCTTTGTACCCGTTGATGGCATAAGCGAACCTGTCTGCCAGCTCCTCTATGCCGTCCTCATTGGAGCTCTGCAAAGACAGAGCCCGCTACCAGAACCTTAGGCACCGGACCAGTGCCTGTGGGACAGAAGCCCGCCACCCGCTCTGTCCCCAGATCAGGCAGAGAGGGGCATCTGCAAAGTTCTCCAGGCAGGGAGTGAAGTTGAAGACCCCTTGAATATACACACCTCACCTCCACCAACCTCATACACCATCTTAACCAGTGGGTAGCAGATCTCCAAACACAGCACTCACATGGCACACCCTCAGGCTTCTGACACCAACCCACCTGCACCTGCACAGGATGTGAGTCCTTCATGCACGCTGTCCCTCACCATCCCCGACACACAAACACACACACACACACACACACACACACACACACACACCCCAGGGATGAGGGGTAAGAGGTATGGGGCACCCTAGGTGTGATTCCAGCTGGTGCCTGGCCTGGATGGACCTGGCCCCGGCTGCCCTCAGTTACCTGTGTGTGCCTCCTGCCAGAGGGCGAGGGGTATTTGTGGTGGCGCTTGCGCCTGTTTCTACACCAAGAGAAACATCTCTCAGCCTGGGCTTTCTCCTTCCCTGAGCCTCGGAAGAGTGGGAAGCAACACAGAGACATCTTGTCTTCTGACCCTCTCCACTCAAGTGAGCTGCAAAGGCAGTTGCCTCCAGAATGTGGGTACCTGGTTACCATGGTTCCAGTTTCTCTCAGCAAGGAAGTGAGGTCACCCCTTCAAGGTTCCATGACCTGTGCCCCTTCATCCAATCAGAGCCACCCAATGGCCCCATGGGCTCTTGACCCCTCACCCACGGGGCCCATGTTATCTCCATACCTGGAAACTAATCAGTACCCAGTCTCCAACACAGCCCTCTCCCCAGCTCTCTGGGAATGTGTGAGGGACCCCGGCTTGGCAGAGAAAGCTGTGTTCACACCTCCTTTTCCTTACTTGTTCTGTGCCCTGAGGGAGCCTCTGTGCCTCTCAGGGCATCCCCCAGTCTGCAGAGCTGCCCGATGAGGATGATGCTAGACACCATTTCCGTAGGAAGTCATCAGGTGTGGGCTGGCATCCCCAAAACCTGATGAACAAACCTAGAGGTGTAAGTGTGACAAGAATGAGTAGCACACAGCATGGGACACTGGACAAAACAGGCCTGAGGTCCAGCCTGAGATCTCAGGGAAGTCACTGCTCATGTGGGCCTCATTTTCACGTCTGCACCTTTAAGGTTTGAAATGACAGGAAATTCAGAGCTTGTCACTCATGGCCTAAAACCTCGCAGTGGTGTCTTTTTACACTTAGCATCAGAGCCAGTGTCTTATGTGGGCCCAAGGGTTAGGGGCCTTCACAGTGGCTTTCATTGAGTCCAGCCTCCTGGTGGGGACATCCTTGTGTGTCCGCTAAGAGCACAGTAACTGGCTTCTGAACAACATAGCGTCGATCCCAGGGGATGGTATGTCAGGTCCTGACACTTCTCTAATAGTCTCTCTCATTCTTGAGGCCCTTTCCTTCTCTCAGCCTCTCTCTCACTTTCTCTCTGTATGTGTGTCTGTCTGTGCCCCGGAACAATGAGTCCACACACTTTTCCCCCCCACTTTAGTAAATCTTGGTTTTGGTAAGTTCTCTCCTTTGTTCTTAGAGTCTCTTGGTCTGAGAAGATATATGGCTTCTTTAACTACTCCATTATGAGTTCTAGACATAACCTGTCAAGTCCCATGAGCATGATAGCTTTCTATCTTGACATTCGTGATACAACCATTCTAGTGTGAAACCATCGTTAGCACCAAGAGTACTCACCCCATTGGTCTCAGTGCCTCTTGATACCATGTGTTTTCTCTGACTTGTCAACCTCTAGTATCGCTGGGTCCCTAACCTTTCCTTTTGGCAGCCCAAAGGATCTTTTGAAAATGTAAATGTGATCCTGACCCTTATGGAAACATACCATGGCTTCCTATGGCATTTAGAATGAAGTCCAAAATCCTTAGTGTGTCTGTCCAGGCCCTCCATGATGTGACCTTATCTTCTATCCACTCTTGTCTCCCCCTCACCCCTTTTCTCTCCTCACACTTTTGAGATCCTCATTGGCATCACAATCACCCAGCCCAGCTGTGTCATTGTCATTCTCCATTTGCCAAAGTTTCCCTCTGGAGTCATTGGAAGACTGGTGTTCTTTCAGGCATATGTGGTCTTTCCTCTGTCCTCCTCTCGGCTTCCATACTGTTTCTTTTTTTCCTTTGTTTTGTTTTGTTTTGTTTTGTTTTTCATGTGTGTGTGTGTGTCTGTGTGTGTATGTTAGTTTGTTTTTGTGGTTTTTTATTTTTTATTTTTGTTGATTGATTGATTGATTGATTGATTTGCTGTACCATGAAAGGCTACTGCCTTCTCCATCCTGGGGAGTTTTCAGGATCTTATTCAGTGTGGAAGCTGAGATTTATAAGCAGCAGAATACTGATGAAAGTAACAGTAGGGATGTGTTTTTCTCACAAAATAACCAATCCATGGGTAGGTGGATCCAATGTTGAATGCAGCAGCTCAGTGATGGCAGGGTAAGCTGCCAGCTAGAAAGTGGCTGCAGCAACAGCTCCCAGGATCCAAGGGAGAAAAAAAGTTCTGTCTTCGCTGTTGTGCTTTTTATCAGGGAGGAAAATAGTGTCTCTGAAAGCAATTATGAGACCCTTGCGTGAACCCTGGGCCAGAACAGGCAAGATTGCAAGGGACATGGGTTCCTTTAGTAGGAAAGTGTTCCTGAAGGAGGTGCCTCAGTCCAGGAGGAGGAGGAGGAATAGCAGGACAAGGAGGAAGAGGAGGAGCAGGAAGAGGAGCAGGACAGGGCAGTTGGGAATTTTCTGATAGTGAGCTTCCTGTTTCTGCTGTGAACACTAATGGCCCCATACATTTGTTCTTTGTGGACATGTGGAGGAAAGGTGTCCCGAGATTCAGGGATGATTGTTTTCAAATCTGTTTCCTTATCTTGAAGTCATCTATCTAATGGGGCCCATATCATACACATGTACCTTTAAAAAAAAACACAGAAAATCTACATGTTTATTGATGTCAGAGGGAGGAAGGGAAACAGAAGGGAGAGAAAGGAGGGTGGGGGGAGAGAGTAACACCAATGATGAGAGAGCCTCATTGATCACATAAACACCTAGACAGCAACCCAGGTATGTGCCCTGACTGGGAATGAAAGTGGGACTTCTTGGTTCAGGGTTTGATGCTCAAGCATTGAGCCACGGCAGCATGGCCACCCGTATAACTTTCTAAGTTTAAACTTTCCTTAATTCAAATTAAGTAAAGGTTAAAATTCACTTAGACATTTAGGGTTCTCTTGAGCAGTGTTAGCTTGTGCGTAGACCAGCCGGTTTCCGTGGAAAGCAAGTAGGAACTGAAAGAAAGGAAATGTGTCTACCATCAGAGCAAGAGTGTTCACATGAGAAGGATGAGGTTTGGATGATTGGGCAATGGCACTGTGTGGATCCCTCTTGCACAGCATGCCTCCTTTGGAAATACTCACCTACCACTCCTTTTTCCTTTTCTGCTTAGAAGTTTTTGACATAATGGTTTTAATTTAATTATAGGTTGTTCCAGTGGTGACAGTGAAGCATGGCCCTTCAGGTAGAACCAGGGCTGTGTACCCTGTTTCCGTACCGTCCTGAGCTGGTGGAACCATTGCCTCTTGCGGAGAGGAGTTTGACTGGTGAGTAAAATTCGGGGCTCATTGGGGAAGGAAAATGTTTAACCAAGTGTTGAGTGGAGAGAGTTGTTTTGAATTATTCCTGTTGCAACCAAAGCAATGCTCTTTCCATCCCCAGTGGTTTTCAGTATTGTTAACAGTTATCCTAGTGGTTGTTGCTGCTCAAATGGCAACTCAAGATACACAGCGAGTGACGTGGAATGCAGCCCAGTAAGTAATTTTTACTCTTCTTGAGAGCATTTGAAGATATAAATTGGCACATGGGAAAGTTTGGAAAGAAATGATTGAGTCTGGCCAGTGTTGCACAGCGGTTGAGGGTCCCCTGGGAACCAGGCAGGCGTTCACAGTTGGTTTGATTCCAGGTCAGGGCATATACCTGGGTTGCAGACTGGATCATCATTGGGTGTCGTGAAGGAGGCAGCCGAGGAATGATTCACTCTCAGCATTTTTTTGATCTCTCCTTCGCTCTCCCTGAAATCAATCTAAGTATAGTTTTAAAATATCTCTTTAGCCTAGCCCCGGCTGATGGGGCTCATTTGGGTGGGCATCTCCCCTTGCACTGAAAGGTTTCCGGATCAGTTCCCAGAAGGGGGGCACTTGGCAAGGTTTTGCGGTCAG